TTTTCATTCCTGCCATATCACCAAAGTTTTTTAACATTGCCATCAGGTCTTCTATTGAATGCACTGGATCTTCCAGCATAATGACTAAGTCGCCTGCAAAAGCCTGAAGTTTATAGATTTGGCCTTTTACTTTCAATCCTTTCAATTCCTTTTTATCTCTAATTTGTTCAGTTAATATTTCTAGAGTCAAGATAAAGTAGTGGAGAGAGTGGACACCTCTGTCTAGTACCTTTCTGTATTTGTATTGCTGTCGACAACTCACCATTAATTCTCACTTTTGCCTTTTGTTGGGTATATATTGCTTTAATTAGCTTCAAAAATCTTTCTCCAACTTGCAGTGTTTCCAGCAAATATATCATAAAATTTCAATCGAGATTATCGAAGGCCTTCTTCGCATCCAAGAATATAATGGCCATCTGTTTCTCCGGGTGTGCTTCATAATATTCCAGGGAATTTAGGACTATCCTTATATTATTTTTCATCTGCCTTTTTGGAAGAAACCCAGACTGATCTTGATGTATTAACTGAATTAAATTTCTTTTCATTCTGGTTGCCAGGATGGTCGCATATATTTTATAATCCACATTCAACAATGAAATCGGTCTATAATTTTGAATTTCTTTACCTTCCATATTTTCCTTATGGATAAGAGAGATTGTTGCTTCAGTCCATGTAGTCCCCTCTTCTTCGACACATTCTCAAAGCTTCTTAAATGGCTGAAGTAACACCTCTTCCAATTCTTTATAATATTCCTCTGGTAGCCTGTCTGGACCTGGTGCTTTCCCATTTTTTTGTTTTTTGAGAGCTTCTATAATTTCTACATATGTTATAGGCTCATTTAGGGACTGAATTTGTTCTTTAGTCAATTTCATTTTGTTGTGCTTCAATATATATTCTTTCTGGGCTTCTTTGTCAGCTTCTTTTTCTTGTATAGCTTCCAATAGAAGTCCTCGGCAATCTTTTTTATTTCTTCCTGTTTTAATTTGTCCACTCCTTTTTCGTCTTTCAAAGTTCATATTATTGTCTTCTCCTTCTCTTTCCTTAATTTATATGTTAGCCATCTTCCCGGTTTATTTGCGTTCTCAAAAAAAAATTGCTTAGCAAATTTAAACTTCCTTGCAGTTTCTTCAGTGAGTAATACAGTGGGGTCTTGACTTGAGAACTTAATCCGTATTGGAAGGCGGTTCTCAAGTCAAAAAGTTCTCAGGTCAAATCTGCATTTCCCATAGGAATGCATTGAAAACCATTTGATCCGTATCTGCTCTTTTCCGTCCATAGAAACTAATGGGAAGCTGCTATTCCGCCTTCAACCACTAGAGGGGGATATTATGTTTCTTTTTTTCTTAGGTCAGGAAAGGTTCAGGGAAGGCAGGGAAAATACAGTCCAGGCGGTACAGTACCAGGCAGTCTGAAGACTGTCTCCCAATCCACTCTCTAAACGCTAGGAGGAGTGAGGAAGCAGACAGGCACCCTTTTCACTGGCCAACAGTTAACTGAAAGTTCACATTTTGCACTTTCCCTGCCTCCCACGTGGTTTTTTTTCAGTTCGTAACTGAAATCTAAGTATGTAAGTCAAGTCATATTTTCCTATGAGAGTGGTTCTTAAGTCAAAATGTTCTTAACTCAAACCGTTCTTAAGACAAGACCCCGCTGTATATTTATCTGGTGTTGTACAAATTTTATCCTCTCTGTCAATTCTTTATTTGTTGGGTTTTGTTTCAACTCCTCTCATCTGAAGCTAGTCTGTTTTCCAAAGTCTCATATTTTTTCCGTCTTCCTCTTTTTTGTTTTGCTGCAAATCTTATGGCTATTCCTCTAAAGAAAACCTTACTTGCCTCCTAGACCATAAACATTGAGGTATCTGGTCTCATATTCTGTTTAAAAAAGAAATCCATTTCTTCTTTTGCTTGTTTCTTGAATTCTTCATTTTTTAAGTGAAGTGTATTAAGCTTCCAATTAAATTCTCTTGGTCTACTGCCTACTTGTAAGAAAATTGGATTATGGTCTGCAAATGTATTAGGTAGAATATCTATTTGTTCCAATTGTGTCATTAAGTTTGTTGACATCCAGCATGTATCAATTCTTGACCATGATTTATGTCTATTAGAATAAAAAGTATAATCTCTTGTCCTTGGATTACATGTTCTCCATGCGTCGACAATATTTAATTCTTCTGCCAGTTGTAAAAAATTTCTTGGAATTGTGCTTCTCTTCTTTCTACTTTTTTTTCTTATAATTCTTTATCAAATACGACATTAAAATCTCCAATTACACAGTAGTGATCATAATCTTTATTTGCCAATTCTCGTTGCAGCTGTTTATAGAAATTTTCCTGATTTCCATTTGGTGCGTAGATATTGACAATTAACAATTTCTTTGATTCTCTTTAAATTTCCACCATTAATATCCTTCCATCATCTGAGGCAAAAATCAGATTTGGTTCTAATTCTTTTTTAATATAGATGGCTACCTCTTTCTTCTTCTTACTCACGTCCGAGGCTGCAAATAATTTTCCTAACCTTGGCTATTCTAACAGTTTCATGTCTTTTCTTTTCACATGAGTTTCTTGGATGCATATAATATCAGATTTCTGTTTCTGCTATAGACCATCTTGACTGTGTGGTCAGCATCCAGGCTGCCCCTTTCTATGGAAAGCCTGTCATCCTTTTTTCTGCTGGCAATGTGGGCATGGTATTGAGCAGCAATATCAGGCCATTTCCAGTTTTTTGGAATCATAGGTAGAGAAGCACAATATCCCACAATCATAAACTGGAGACTTTTTAAGGAATTGAATTTCCAACATGTACGAGGCACTTTCATGGCTGAACTAGAATGTTTTCAGGCAGG